TTTACCTTAGCCTTAATCATTCTATTTGCTCAGATGATGGTGTATTTTTTCAATAAAAGTGATCGCTATATATTGCAACAATTTATTTGAATGCCATTCTTAATGTATTTTTAACAAATAACATCACTATTCACTATATCTCTTATGTTTTTGATCCTTTTTATTACTTATCTTCTTTATTTGAAACAGATTTTTAACAGATAATCTTGATCTTACAACAATATCTTGCTTGCATTTTATTCAAATAATTCTTAAAAACAGCTTAAAAAGCCGTTTGGAATAACATCAAGCTTGCCATCAATCAAATGAAAAAATTCCGCTGGCGGTTGTATAAACATCAGATCAAGTCTGATGTCTTCAAGGATTTCAGAGTGAACCATAAAAAACTCCATTAACTTCTGACAAAGAATGCAAATTAATCACAACATGGGGTGAAATGAAATTAAAGGCTCTTTTCTAATCAATGACAAGGCAGGATGAAATATTTGTTACTCTCTCCGCACTCAGACTGCCTAGGATGTTTGCACTTCCCTTGCAAAGCCCCAAATGTAAGGTGTGAGTACAGATTCACCCACAGTTGCTGTTTAGCCCTCCCATAACCCCCCCCAGAGCTATCTGCTTACAAGTCGTGGAGATTCACAAAACACACTAATCATCTGAATCTCAGGTGCATCCAATTTGTTATTCACACTCTCCCATGCCAGTGAAAAGCCTGGCGCAGACAGATGCACCAGGAACCCTAAATGACAGTTTGGCCTCCGGAAGTACGATCACTACAGCAAAATCTAGTACAGCCTCCAGGTGAAATGTCTGGAGCTCCATATGGAGCAGGGAAAATTAACAACAAGATGAAAATCACTGCAGCAGCGGGAAGTCGGAATTTTTGAAAAAAAAAAATGAAATTTAAAGATGAAGAAAGAGAAGTAATAAATTAATGGGGTGTGAAAACATTCAAAGCTTTACAATACCAGGGGCACTATTTGCTCAGATTTTTTTCCCTTTTTTAACTTCAGGTCATTTTGATGTAATTTATTAACCAAGATCAGGAAATATGGCCAAAAGAAGAACAACATTTTTATACATGCAAAAGTACTTTAAATACATTCGTATCTGTATTGTCTTCACTTTCCTGTGGCATCTTGCTTACCAAATTTCCAAATGCCAGAGCTGGTGCATCCCCTGAGAAGTCTCCTTAATGGATTTACTATCATCCTAATGCAGGGAACTACTGTAAAGTTTGAATGAAGGATGATGATTTTTAGCACACAATCTTCTTCATTTCTCCTAAATTATGGTGTCATTAAACAAACCATTGCCCACCATCATGTTTTTTAAGTCAACTGAATTTGGATCTACATGATTAACTATACACAGCTCCAGTCCTTGTCCAGACCTGCACATCTTACCAGATCACTATTAAAGCTAAATTGTTCAAGAAATTGAGATACTCTCTGTTTACGAGATGTTTGAAAACACAATTTTCCATTATCCTGTTGCAGAATATGTTTCCCAGGCACCCAGAATTTAATGGCACTGGGGTCAGTTAGAGCTCTGAGGCCCTCTGGACCCTCCTGTCACTCTGCTAAACACATGGTAAGAAAAGCAAAAAGGCTCTAGGGAATGGTCTTGTCATCATCTACAATGGCACAACCCCCTGATGCTCAGCATTTCTCATCTACACAAGAGGCCTCCCTAGGGCAGAGAAGGCAAACTGAGAGAAGTGCAAGGCTGGGTGGGGCTGAGGGGGAAGAGCAGTGGTACGAATACCCAACCAGAGTACACACAACCAGTCATTTGGTTTAGTTGCTTGCAAATCCTAGATGTAACTGTACCTACCCGTTCATCACTGAGACAACGTGTGTTGCCTCTCTGAGCCTCGCCTGAAGTCTGGGAATAAGTCTCTGCAGGGCAGATGTACAGCCAGTCAGATACCAGAAAGAGCTCTACAGCTCAATATGGGAACCGTGCTAGATGAATCCAAGACATTGCTCTTCCGAGTGCAAGCTCCAGGAATAAGACTGCGTTTTTAGTGGCTCTTTACCATTTTTTTCCTATAGAGTCTTAAACTGCATGCCAATGAGGTTATGTGACTTTAAGGCCTAAAGGAAACTAAAATATATAGTATTTTCAAATACCAAATAAAAACCGAACCCACAAAACAATGAAATTCATATAGAATGATTATTTCAACAAAAATCCAGTCCTTTAACCTTTATGTTGGTCCCAGGCCACTGACTCTCCTTGATATCTTTCCAACACTCCCCCCGCCCCCCCACCCCTTAGCTGTGTCCCCACTGGGTATATACACTGTGTCACCGGCAGGAAGAGGCACTGCTAATGACGCTGTCAGCAGCACTGATGCTGGGCTGGGGGAAGAAGAGCCTTGAAGCCAGCCGCTCCTCCCCACTTTCACCTCTGCTCATTTGACACGCAGTTCCAATTGTGGCTGGCCGGTTGCTGAGCACATCCTTTTGCAAACTTTGGTTGATGATTAGAAATTGTTTTGTGCTTATAGCCCAACATCGAGACCAGTGGGTGGCCCTATGTACTCTCCCTAGTGGTTTTATACCCATCTCATTTAATCTGCATACTGTCTTTAATCAGATAGGAAAGGTGACAAATGGGATGAGGCAGTCCCCAGCTCAAGAAACAGAACACTGCTTTGACTCTATGGCTGCTTTGTAAAGTGAGTCTCCTGTTGCTGGGGGTGTTAAGCATAGTGTGGATGTTTGCTTTTCAGATATTGTAGAGAGGTTTAATTCAATGATATCTGAGATTTCTCCCAATCCTGAGAGTCTACTATTCACTCTGGACTACTCCATTTGGGATTCAGTGGCACCAAAGAGTTCAGTGAACTCTCTGCAGTTCAATCGTGAGAAATCAGCCATTCTGTTTGCCCAATTTATGCAGGAGGGCTCTCTCACAGAGTGGTCTGGGGTTAAAATGAGGTAATATGGGTCAAAGAGAAAATGTTATTTCATAATCCAGTCTCTGTAATACTATAAAAATGAACGTTTTTCTTCAAGTGCTTTATTTGAGGGCAAAGAGAGGGGCTGAGAAAGGAATTTATGAAGTACTCTATCCCAATCTTCAGTCTGTAGTATGAAGCCTGTAAAATGTCAACTCTTCCAAAAGTAGGTATTGATTCTAGCAATGAAACAAACTGCTGTTGAAAAATATGGGAAATAGGCATGATGGCATCAAAGCCACTTCCATTATTTGACGTAAAAGTCCCAATTTGGTGACAATATTCTGTTGTGATTCAAGGATCACAGCCCCCCTCCCCCCACCCATAAAGGTTAATGCACACTAAGGAATTCAGCATGTTATGATTTTCCAACTTCTACTTGACTAAATAAACATACACGTTCTTAGACATTCAAGAAGATAATATAACAAAAGTATGCAGCCTCTCCCCCAATCTGACCAGAGCTTGCCAATGCTTCATCTGCCACGGGCAGTGGCAGAGCGTTTCCTGGACTCACCACTTACCCAGTCTCGCTGATTATTTAGGAATCTCAAGAATATAGCTGTATTCTCAATCTTTGGCATTTTTATTACATGGCTTACAAGTTTTCTACTATGACTTGTTCGAAAGATATAGTATATACGGCCTCTTCTCTTGATTTACAGAATTTTAGGGAATTTCACATATTGGCCAAACAGTGAATTGTTTAAAAATTACTGACAGAATAAGAGGCTTACCGAGATAAATATTCTAATGAGCTATAAATCCTGAAAATGTGATTTTAATTTGATGGGCTACCTAGAGCTAAGCAGCCAGGCTGTATACACTAAAATCTCACTAAGATGCTAGCATGCATGCCAAGCAATCACTACAATTTAGACATCCTCTTTAAGGAAAAGATTATGTTTAAACAAAGAAGCCTCCAAATTTGAAAAGTGAGACTCAACACTCTTGAACCCAACAACGTGGACAGTTTTTCTTTAATTTATCTGACGGCTTTAGCTGTAAAAGAAAAAGAATACAAAACAGACATTTCGGCGAGTGAAGGGTCTTTAAATGTCCACATGGGAACCAGGAGAATTTGCTTAAAATCGCTCAAAAAGATGGTAGAGAGAATGAATCCCATCCTATTATTCAATAACCATGTTTGTGATTCATCTGCATAATCTAACCATGCATAAATTAGTATGTGTAATACAACACTTATTTGCATAATAATAGCAAGTTAATAGATGCTTAAAGAGCAGAGACCAACACCACCTTTAAATCAGACATGCCTCCAGGCACTCTGGCCTGTACAGACCAAGATGCCAGAAAAACAGTGAGCATCAACCAGAGGAAAACAGTCAAACCATTCATTTTTCATCCCTCTAGACATTTCACTTATTTCTCCGCACACACTGGGGAATCATTTTCAAACCACAAAATAGCTTTATATTTTAAGTGGTAGCACTCATCTATAATAAAAATCTTAAAGAAATTATAAAGGTTATCACCAGCAACGGTAATATAATGGATAGTTTGTTTTCTTAGAAATGCGGAGAGGAAGGAACAATTTTTTTAAAAAACAGTATGTTCAAAATCACACCCCCATAAAATTGGGGGCCTGTTTATTTGTTCAGCAAAAATAATGACCTATTTAGATATTTTTATCCTTCATCTCAATTCTCTATTTCAAATAATTTTAATGAATGTAAAAGCTCAAATAGCGTATCAAGAAAAGGCTATGCCTCTCTCCCAACCTCAATATGAGCACATGGTACAGGGTTAGGATAAGGGAAAATATCACCAATGTCACACAAAGGAAGAGCATGGTGATGGCTTTCAACCTTTAACAAAGAGGAAAAAAATCTGGAGTTTAAAAAAATCAAAAATCAATAGAGACTTCTAAATGACTCCTTTAAGATATCACTTTTCAATTTAACAGGACAGATTTATTTGTATGTGGCTCAAATGTTCACAATTGCTCCCTGCACCTTCATACATAGGAATGAATGTCACAGTGGCAAACGGCAGTAATGAACAATCTTACCTGAGGATATGGAAACCTCCCAAGAGCAAGCTGGGAAAGGAAATAATATTTGTCTAGTTATAGATTTGCATGCAGGGCAGATCTCCTTAAGACAGACAAGTACTAAATTTCAGAATTGCATCCGGCAAATATAAAAAGCTCACAACCTCAGATACAGGAACTAAAATATAACTGTAATTACATTAAGAGTTGTATTTAGAATGAACGTTTTCAATGGACAGTGTTACATCCCCAATAAAATATTCTAATTTTAACAACTAAACATTTCCCTTATGTGGTTTCTCTTAGGAATATTCTCAGCTACCTGGGCATTATTCACATTTACGTGTGTGTGACAGTTTCTTCTGCACAGAGATGTAAAACTACAGGAGGAGACTACCGGCTTTTCTTTTTGTAAAATGGATCACCTTCAATTGCAAGTATACAGATAGGAAGAGTTGTAGGAAATGGGAAATTAAACAATAAAATAAAAAATTTGCCATTACTTCCATCTATTTGTTAGTTTTTTTCATCCATTTTCTATTCACAGAAGAAAAGAGCTACTACTAGTGGGAAAATGGTCATTTTGAGACTGTGAAGGGCAAAAACTGTAGGTCAGAGTCTGAAATTATTGAAAGTGAATCAGAGCTTCCAATTTTGCTTGATTTGCTATATTTCTAGACCAGTAATTTTGTTCTTTGGATCCCCACCTGCAAAAACAAAACGATTCGACCAGGAATAGGATTGATGTAAACTAACAAGATCAAATTTACCAAACATATCTTACTTAAAAAAAATTGTGGCAAAATTTTGCAACTGTATAACATGGTCCATCCTCAGGCCTAAAATCCTTTATATGTATTTGTAACTACTTGCAAAGTAGAATTGCTATATCAGATAACTTGGAAGCTGCAATGGATCCAGGAGAGCATCAACCTATTTTACAGATTAGAACCCTAGAGTCCCGTTGCAGAGGTTTGCACACAGTTCATCAGTAGAAGCCAAGGGACTGACCCCAAACCTTACAACTTAATCCAGTGTTCTTTCCTGCACATCACACTGCTTTTATAGATCTTGAGAAATTGTACATTTATTTCAAAGACACTGACATTGCTAAACATTTTTGAACTCCACCTTTTGGAATGATGTTTAAAATCATTTAACAGGAGAACCCTACCTCATTTTATTAGAATTGAATCATATCTTGGACTTAAAATTTTACCCCTCATCTTTTTGATTGTGTAAATTATTTGTTCATAAAGTTTTGTTTTGAATAGCTTATGGGTATTACCAAAACCAGACTCCACTTAAAAAATTTTTTGACATTAAATTTATCGGGGTAACACTGGTTAACAACATTATGTAAGTTTCAGGTGTACTATTCTAGAATACATCATCTGTATGTTGACTTGGTGTTCACTACCCCAAGTCATGGTCTCCTTCCATTGTCACTTATTCCCCTATACCGTCTTCTACCTCCCACTACCCCACTTCCCTCTGGTAATCATCATACTGTTGTCTATGAAGTTTTTTTTCCTTTGCTTAATCCCTTCACCTTTTTAACCCAGCTCCCCAACCCCCCTCCTCTCTGACAGCTGTCTGTTCTCTGTATCTACAAGTCTCTTTCTATTTTGTTTGTTTATTTTGCTCATTAGACTCCACATACAAGTGCCATAATTAGATTGGTACTTATTTTTCTCTGACTGGCTTATTTCACTTAGCATAACACTCTCCAGGTATATCTTTGCTGTTGCAAAAAGTAAGACTTCCTTCTTTTTTATGGGCAACTAGTATTCCATTGTGTAAATGTACCACAGTTTTTTTTTTTAAATCCATTCATCTACTCATGGGCACTTGGGCTGTTTCCAGATCTTGGCTATTGTAAATAACGCTGCAATGAACATAGGGGCGCACCCAGCTCCATTGTCAAAGAATAAATATTTTGTTCCTTACTAAGGATAGACACAAAAGGGCTATGATTAATTTTCAAGTTCTAAAACCAGTTTGAGCAACAGCAATGTAATAGGAATAAGCCATATAACCACGTAAGGTGACTACTTTGAAAGGGCCAACACTCATTTGGATGTATATATATATATATATATATGTTGACTACCTGATAAGTTTTATTACCTTGTATTCATTTCTTATATATTCAGAGTTCATTGACTTTGAAGATATAAAGTTATATTATTATTTCATTTGGTGGATACTGTTAATACCCTCAAGTATAAATAACAAAAATATCACAAAATGAGATGAAGGAAAGAGAGTATGAATTTTAATCAAACTTTTAGTTTTGTGTATGTTTTTGTCTATATGCTGTTATTAATTAGGAAGGGGAGGGACTCAGCTCTCCATTGCCCCCACTCCACCCCCACCTAAAATAGGCCATTCATTTACTTTATTTTGTAAATACAATGTGTTTCTGGCTAATTCGAGTGTGCACAACGGTTCAGAAGGAACCACAGTGGTCTTCTGTGGTGGAAATAGGGGGACGAGGCATTTGAACCATTCTGTACTAAACTGAGAGGCAGTGACAGCTCATTAAGAGGTGTCACCTACCATTACACTGAGCTGTAGATTATGAGTTTTGCATATTCTGACATTTTGGGTTAGAAAACTACCAAGAGAAGGGTCTCTCACTTAAAAAGCTGACAGCTTACTAACTACTGGAAAACATTTGGGACATTCTATCTCAAGCCTTCCTATGGATGCTATGCCATTTACTTGGGTACACTTGAACAATGTCATTAGGGTCTATGGAAGAATTCTGCCCATATGACTTACCAGCAGAAGAAATGTGCCCGCCATACATACAGTTAAGATGTAAACTAGGTGGCAGGTATCAAACTGGCATTGGTTCTTGCAGTGTAAAGAAATAAATAGTAATAAATGGAAGGCTTAAAAAAAGAGTGGAATATAGTGAAAAATGTGAATTTCCCCCCATTTCAACACAAAGCTTCAAATTCTCAAGTCATTACAGTTCTGTGGGGAGGCCAGGCTACAGCTGACTTGTGAACGTGCCCGCATCTACTCGGGCCCCTCTATCATGACTGGTACAAGGTAATGAGGATGGCTGATGTCATTTATTTACTCTGCAAGATATCACCACGCGGGAGAACACAGAAAATTCAGTGCAGGCTGGTCAGCTGGGAGCTACTCAGTACTAGCCTGCTTGGGAACAGGTGGCTGTGCTTGATTGGACTAGTGAATTCATCCCTCCTGGGACTGGCTTTGATTTGTGTGCACTTTCCTGACCTCCCATGGAATCTCAGTTCTACTTGTCAACTACAGTCCTTGGAGAACTTCTAAGATATCTTGTGGGTCTAACCTCTTTTGAGTCGGAGGACAGAGAATGGTTCCTTGACCTTGACCAGAGCACCACAACAATGATTTCCTCTCAGAGAGTGTCACCACTGGGCTGCTCCTGCACAGGTCACGGATTCCAATTCTTCTCCAGCACAAACTGGCAGTGGCACTATTAGGCTGGCACCAAAAGCAGTCATTTTAGGCCCCAGGAGAGGGAGCTGCCTTCCACGTACATCCCTGTCCTTCCAGATTTAAAGCAGCTGCAGTGTTCAGGTTCCACACTATTTGTCTTGTGGCAAAAGAGAAGGAAATATATAGCCAGACCCTACAACCCTTTTATCAAGTTCAATTAAGAAAAGGTAAAAAAGATAAAGGGTTCTTAGCAGATATGACTGCATGAAGAACAGGTTCTTCGAGAGGCTGTCAAAAGTTAAAATAAACACGGAACCCTCACGGGGAAGAGGCAGCACATATGCTATGACTGAACGTTTCAGAGACAGGTGAACCGGGGGCCATTCTGTATCTTTTACCCCTACTGGTCTATTAATCTACTTGCATTTCCCCAGTTTTTATTGTCAAGGTATTATAAATTAGGAAACTTACAAAAGAGAGTATGTAATCTTCTCTGAAATGGCCTGCAGATATGTCACTGTACTAAATGTGTTTCAGATTTAATGAAGCTTTAATGTCCTTTTTAATTTTGCCTGTTTCTGTATCACCAGGGGTCGGGCAAGGCAATCAGCACTCAAGAGGGTGGTTTGGTTTAAAACTAGGAAAAAACTCATTTGCTTATGAGTTGCACTGTATTTTCTTAATTAAATTTACTGAGTAAAATGGTTTAAGTTCAGCCAACCAATGACCTCTGCATGTAGATTTAGATTTATAAATAGGTTAACAGTTAAAGAAAAAAAAAATCACAACAAAGCAAACAGATTAGGGCTAAGCCAATAGAAATCTTTGCTCTCTTTATCATCTTTACAAAAGAAGCATTTAAATATAGGCTGTTTAAGTCCAGTTAAAGAAAAAAAAGTATGTTGAAAAATGTGGATTCACATAAGTGCCAGCAATTCATCAAACGCTTCTCACACCCTTTCCATTCCCAGGAGTGGACTGGCTTACACTGAGAAAGATTCGGCTTTACTTATTTATTTTTGGTGGTGGCGGTTGGAGATAGAGATGGGGCAGGGAGAGGATTCTATTTAATGTTAAATAAAAAAGTCCATTTTAATCCCAAACATTTAAGATTCAGCAAACTGCTAAATACTCTGTTCCTTGTGGGAGATTTACTATGTAAAAGGCAGAAAAAGAATGCTCTGAAAACACTTACCATTTGGGAATACATTTAAATAACATTAAACCACTAACATTTCACTGTGAAACTAGGACTATTCCTCAGTGTCCTGTTATTGATCTTTGATTTGTCCAACCATAATTTATGAAATATTCTTGAGTTCGTGGCATTTGAGTATGTTTGGATATTCTAACTTAAATAACAAATGTATGTGTGTAGGTATGATCATAACATTTGCCAAATACATAACAATGCACGATAGAAACCTTTGTATATTCACAGTTAGAGTGAAGATTATTTATTTACGAAGCAACAAAAACGGCTTCTGTTGGTAATAAGAGGAATTATCACTAATAAGTCATAAATGATAAAGAGAAAATATACATTGTAGCCAGAAAGTAAATGCAGGACACAGATTCATAATTCAGGATATGTTTTCGGTGATTGC